ATCGACCAGCTGCCTCCTGCACATCTCCCACTGGGGATGTGCCTGCAACCCAGGTACATGCCCTTGACCGGAATCGAACCTGGGACCTTTCAGTCCGCAGGCCGACGCTCTATCCACTGAGCCAAACCGGTTTTGGCACCATGTTTCTCTTTTATTAGTGTAGATATATTTTCTCTCAGATACAAATAAAACATGCATTCAAGTGGTTTATATTTTCATAACATTTTAGTATTTAATAGAAACTATATACAATAACTTTTTATGGCATTTTACATTAGGATAGTCACTACAGAAATTTACATATGTTGAAGATGGATGGTTAAGGAGGACCCAGTCCTGTGGGCTATTTTCTGAAGTTACAGGTCAGAGTTTATTGGGGAGGAAGGGAGTTCAGAATCCCCAACTAGGTGAGAGGTGAGAAAAAGCTAAAACACAAGCTACTATATAGCAATGGCCAGACACGGGGTCCATCAATATCCCAGGGGTGCACAACTCCCACTTAAAGACTTTGGAAATCCCCTTACCAAGATGTCTCTTCTCATGGCACAGAGTCCCAAGTACTTGCTCGATCCCAGCAGCTCTGACAAGATTCACCTATTTTTCTTCCTCACCCAGAGCGGAAAGACACAACTTTTTAACACTACTACTGGTCCCTGTCCCCCAAATTTGGTGTATGTTTGACTATAGCACTCAATAACCCTGAAGGAAAACGAAGTAGTCTGGGTTGTCCTTTAGAGAGGTCAGAAATACTTGTTTAAAGAATGGGAAATACAAATCCTCCAAAGTCAAACAGTTCCCCAAACAATCAACTGATAGAACTGTGTTCTGGCTTCCCGTTTGCAGTCGCCACTCCACTTTGAGACAACGGTGCAGAGGCTTTCTCAGAATTTCGAAATCCCTGCGATCTGCACCCATCTCCGGCCATCTGCATCTGGCCCTGTTAAAAGAAAGTTACCTTGGTTACAAATTCATTTGTTGTGGTCTGAAGCGTGAATCTGACTTATCAATGCCCATGTATCATAGCAACAAGAACAAGACAGCAGAAATAAAATAATACTGGACAGTTGCTCTTCCCCATACTTGTTATTTCTTGAAACATTCCTAAGACTCCCAATGGGAGGGAGAGTTGTGGGTTGTTTCTTCCAAATGAAACAGCCATTCTGTGCTGAATTTCCAGAACAACCAACAGATCACAGGAAGATGGTCCTTTGGGCCTCTGCTTGAAACCAACAGCTATAGCATAAGTGCTGGTCTTCAGTCAGGGCCATTTGTATCCCACCCAAGGCTCAGAGAAAGAAACCAAATCACATTACTTATCCTTACCCTATGATGAAAACAATTCCAGTGCTGAACTCTGCCTTAAAAGGAACAATGCACCTAGATTCCTTGTCTAGCTAACTAAATAAATGTGTCCTGCTGAGATATGAAAACCGGGATTTCTAAGAGCCTATCTGGAGAACTACCATCTGGGACACCTTTACAGTCTCCGTGTGATGACATCATCCCCCCTCCCGCTCTGGGAGTACATGCTAGCACAGCCAGCAGGGAACCCGCTGCCTGGCTGCATGGCTGCATGAGGGAAGCCTGCCCGGGCTGTTCTTCACTTGCCAAAGTATCCACTGGGCCGTCAGCAGTGTCTTTGACGGAATGCTCTTCAAGGGTTAGTGAAGGATCAAAAAGCAAGGGTGAAGGAGGACACTGCATACCATCACCCACAACATCCAAGTCCTAGGAAAAGACAGAGAAATGCGTATCAGCAATACCAAACGAACCAATTAGCTAAAGTTGGCATATTTTTCAGCAAACCATAAAGCAATTTTCCCACACTTCCCTTACCCCTTACCTACCTTGAATCAAAAAAAGACTTTCCCATAATGTCCAACAAATGGGGTAAGATCCAAAAGCACTAAGCATTTTTCCTTACTGCCAAGTATAAAGCAGGGACCACCAGTCGCTTTAAAAAGCATTATTTTCCAATCAGCACAATTACAAATTAAACTGAAATACTGCCTTAAAAAATGGGTAATATGAGACTGTTTGATTAATGTCCTAACAGCCACAAAGCAAGCCAGTGAGCAAGAAGGAAAGGGAGAGAAGAGAAATAAATACGTAAAATAACTCAAAGTCCCTCTTAACAGCTAAAAAAAACTATTTTGGTTAAGTCCTTATCCCCACAGAATTATGAGTTCCTGATTCTTAAACCTAACAATCCAAATGTAAACAAACAAACAAAAAATATTATATTTACAGACTATGTTTCATCCAATTGAACTGGCCATTCCCACTGGGTCCTGAATGGCCAACAAACCACAGGAAGACATTGCTCTTGGCTCCTGTTTGAAACCAACAGTCACAAAAAACCCACTGGTCTTGATTCAGGGCCTAAAGCATTGCAAAGGCTCAGACAATGTGTCAAACAGGCTTGCATGTCACCCCTTTCTAAGAGGCTATCCCTAAACTCTCCTGTTTAAGAGTGAAAATCACCCAAGGGTTTGTACTCCCTTATGTCCAATCCACTTTCTAGAGAGTCTATGTTTCCACTAATCTAATTTCACGAGCTCACTTATTTCTATGCTTTTAAATAGGTTACGTCTTAGAGTCCAAAATCCTTTCCCTTTCTTGAATCACATCTTCAAAACAATTAAGGTTGAAAAAAGTAAATAAAGGACACTGGACTTAAAGCTGGTTAATTTAAGGAGAAACACAAAGAAAAGGATATCAGCTACCTAAAAGGATACATTCACTTCAGATGTGAAATATCCACAGAAACCAGTGTTCTCATATGGTTAAGACAATAAACTATTTTCTTTAATTCTTTTACTATGCACATTTATTATACAAACTAGAGGATTCATGCACCGGTGGAGTCCCTCAGCCTGGCCTGCTCCCCCTCGAAGCAGGAGGCAGCCAGGGAAGAGCCCAAGCCCAGGCTGGGCCCCTGCTCAGCTCCCACTCATCCCAGCCCTGCTGCACCTGCCACAGCTGTTGCTCAGCAGCGTGCTGCCACCGCAGCTGCAATCACCAGCCATGAGTCTGGCATCTGGCGCCCCACTGTGGGAAGCTCCTGTGTTGAGCGTCTGCCCCCTGATGGTCAGTGCATGTTATAGCAACTAGTCAAACGGTCATTCGGTCACTTGGGCTTTTCTATAGAGATAATTAACTTGGAATTTAAAAGAACCCATTTAAGTGGTGAGGCAAAAGATTTCCAAGTCTCAAGAGGACAACAGTCAAGAAATGTTTTCAAAAGAAAATAGATACTTTTCTGTAACGAGAACTGAATTTGGAGAAAGGAACCAAGAAAGGAAAAAATAATCAGCAGAAAAGCCTACCATAACAGGAATGTTTAATTGCAAGTATCAAAACATTCTGAGAATCCATTTTTGTTCGGATCTCAAAAACCATAAACACACACAGAGCAAGCTCAAAGTTAATAGGAATAAACTATGATGTTATTTGCCAAACATCTTTGGATCAAAACACAGAAAACAGACAAGTGTAATATCCAGAATGACATGCTTTTCGTGTCTCAGCCTTTTGGCTAAGATCAAGTGCAGAATTTTTACCAATAGTAATAGCTCATACCAGGCCCTCCTCTGAGTGAAGTTATCAAAAGTTATTAACATGTTATAGAAACTATATCTAAAACAATACAGGTAACAAAATTGCTTAGTGAAACTCATAATTAAGAAATCGTTTTTGCCCTAGCTAGTTTGGCTCAGTGGACAGAGCACTGGCCTGTGGACCAAAGGGTCCCGGGTTCAATTCCGGTCAAGGGCACATACCTTCGGTTGTAGGATCCTCCTTGGCCCGAGCCCTGGTTGGGGTGCATGCAGGAGGCAACCAATTGATGTGTTTCTCTCACATAGATATTGCTTTGTCTTTCCCTCTCTCTAAAAATCAATGGAAAATATTCTCTGGTGAGGATTTAAAAAAGAGAAATCATTTTTCCCCAGCAAAATTTTATACTAATATATCCAGAATTTGTGGGAGGACAAAGATTATTTTCTAAAACTGCATTTTATTTCAAATTTTCTGGAGAATTTACCTCCAAAGATTAAGAATAAAACTATTTTTTAATGACCAATGTAGTTCATCAAAAGAACATTATTATAAACACAACAGATCATCAATTACAAATAGCTAATTGTTTTACAAAGGTCCATCTTAAAAACCTACTGGGTTCTCAAAAGTAAAGCTTTTTTCTCTTATATTCTTTAAGAAATCCGTGCCAAATATAAAGATGAACAGATCTGATAGCATATATTTTTTAGAATCTTTTAAAATTAAGATTTCTTAAATGTTAGGTTTTGCCTACCATCACATCTTACAGTCTTTAATATTTTGTGTAACTATTCTCCAAAAAACAAACAAGACTATAATCTCCAAAGATATTGGGACAGTCATATTTTAACTCTAGTTATCAAAGGTTTGAGAAAGATCACTTAAAACTAACATGGCAAAACAGGTGAAAGGGGAAAACCAAAATAATCAAAATAGAAATGGCTCTCAAAATTATCAGATAAATATTAATAATCTAGTACATCTATATAAAACACATACTAGTTTTTACATTAACATCTGAAGAGAATTTGGTGATGTAGTGGTTATTAGGTTATAGTTAGATCCTATAAAGCTCCTCATATTACTGAGTTTCAAAATTAAAACACCCCTCAGGTT